TTGTGTGTGTGTGGGGGGGGGGGGGAGAAGAGAGAGAGGGGGTTTGACTGCCCCAGGCTGCTGCTCTCTGGATGGCCTCTGGGTGTCCCAGGACCGCTGCTGTGGCTAGGGCGGTCCCCAGGACCGTTATCCAGGCGGTTGCAGGACCAGCTGTGCCAGCTGCTGCTCAGGCAGTTCCCGGGGCCAGCTGGCCCTAGGTTGCTCCAGCAGCAGCTGGCCATGGGGCACCCGAGCAGCCAGCCCCATGGCCAGCTGCTCGGGCAGAGCTGCAGCAGCCACTACGGAAGTCACGTAAAGTCACAGAATCCGTGACTTCCACGACCACCGTGAGAGAATAGCAGCCTTAATAACGGTGCAAATCAAAATCTAAAGATTACATTTAAACTGTCATTAATTTCCTATTTTTTGAATCACGTTCATTCATTTTCAGATCTTGAAACTGATATCATGCATATCATTTTTAATTTTTATTTGAACATTTAAGATAATTACAATTGGATGGTTCATATTTCCAGTGGTATCTTCATGGTAGATACCACCAAAACATACATACATACATTCCACACAGTTAACAAAATGACATTTTAGTTACTAGAATTACAACTATTGTTTTGTACATTTTTTTTTTGCTTACAGATAACACAAAGTATTGTTGCTGGGGTATTTCTGTTAACAGTCAATATCAGACTACTACTACATCTGTTTAATTTTAATATGAATGAAATGAATACCTGTACATAAGGATAATGTAAATTATGAGGTATTCATTTAGCACTGAGACTATATTTCGGCAAAACTTTCAATGCACTTTGAGATCTTATGGATCGGAACAGATTTAATATTTTGCAGTTATGCACTATATAAATACTGATTATCAAACTTGTACATATCTCTTCTTACTGGTTCCTATTTAACTGGAATATATGAAGAAGTCAATACTATGTAACATCTTTCTCTCTTGTGCACTTTAATTTCACAAGTACCACTTATAACCACCAATTTTTATTTAATTCCCAAGTCAATTATCCAAATTTTAGATGTGACATACAATCCTTCCAATTTGTTTTTAAAACCAGAATGATATAGCATTGGATAATAGTCATATGATGTAAATTGATGCAGTTTAAATACTTCTTGTAATTCTTGATGCAGAATTCTTAAAATGGAACACTTATTCACCATTGTTAAATAAATACCTCCACATCAGCCATTCAGTACTCCAGCTTTCTTCATGTTCCAAAACATTCTATTTTGGAGAGCATGTTGAGTTAAATCTTGAAACTGACTGTCTGATGAGAGAATTACTTCGTATTTTTGGAGGAGCATTTTATTGCTGTAAATGGGCTGGGGAATGGAAGGCTCTGAAGTAAAATAGACAAAGCTTTATGAAAATATTTCAGAAGGAAATATGGCTGGCAGGTTAAAAAAATTGTTTTTGTAATGTAGTAAGTTTTAAGTAAAATGAATCTGTACCAAACTTTTAATGTAAAAAAGTAAAAAATGCCAACAAAACCAAGGATTAAGTAAAATCTAACAGCTTCAGTAAATTCAAATTATCCCTGCTAAAACTGTAATTTGTCTGTAAAAAGAGCCAATACTCCTTGGCTAACAAAATTAGTTGCTTCTATAAATCTCTGCCAGCATTGTTTCCCCAGTAAAACTAACACCAACCCTATTAAGCCTTCTCATTCATTCCCAACACCAGAGAACTCAACTTCCGATCTCTCCTTAACCCACACACATTTGTTATATTGTGCCCTAACCCACAGTTACCATGCAAGAACATCAAGGCAAAGTGCTGTGACAACCACTAATCCGTCTAAGGAGAAATTACATTGCTCCCTCCGTTGTTACAATTCTGTTCTTCAAAACAACCAGATGAAACAACTGAGGTAAGGCAGGTGAAGTCTGAAGTTACAAAGTTTCCGATTTAACGGTGAGATTTCTAGTTAGATTTTGCATACTATAAAATCTATTATGATATAAATATTGCAAAATTAGGCAAAAAACTCTTCCAAAGATAGAATAAGTAATGTTAACAAGAATACAGGTCTGTAAGCAATTATTTTCCTTCATTTCTCTGTGGAATTTTGGCAGGTACTTATTTACTATTCTTTCTGGTGCAGATACACTGCAAGCAACAGGATATTATTCAAAAAGGACAGTGGAGCTAAAGATGAGATTGCTACCCTCAGACATGCCTCGTCCTCCCCTCCAGCCCACAAATAGCACTTTAAGAACTCAAAGTTCTTCAAAGTGACAAGGGACTAAATCACCTCTTTGATTAGTCACATTTGAAATCATTGCTGACTGGGTTAAGGAGCAAATGAGGAAAATATGATACTGCATATGTAAATTAAACAGTATGTTTAATTAGATCCCTTTCTCCTCAGGCTTCATGTATCATGTGTACTAGATTATAAATTCTTCAGGGCAGGGATAGTCAGCGTATATGGCACTTAAAACAGGGCCTCTGAACATCTGCAATATCAATAAATTCCTCATGACTTCTGGGGCACCAGGCATTGGCCACTGCCGGTAGACAGGATACTGGGCTAGATGGACCTTTGGTCTGACCCAGTACGGCTGTTCTTATGACCTAGACAGCAAACAATATTAAGATATTCTGAAATTAAATGAATAGCAAAAACCAGTTATCTAAACATGTTGAAAAATACAATAGTTTAACATTAAATGGGAAAAATACAGCAGATTCAGTACTTGTACATTCAGTGATATACAGTCCCAAAACTGCAATTTTCATTAAGTCTCTATCCTTCTTCCTTGGATTAAAGCAATTTGAAAATCAGAGACACACACATGCACTGCCCCCAACATAAATTTCTTCAATGTAGTGTTAATTCATCCACTAACTGATAACAAAAATAAGGGGTGAGAACTTTTAATATAGGAGTGACCTTTATAAGCTCACTCCCAACTGTAATAAGAATATTGAAAGGGAAAGCATAAAAGTATCTTAAGTCGTCTATCAAAATTCCCTTCAGTTACATTGCATCTACACTACCACACCTCCTACTGAAAAGAAGCATCACTCTACTTCAGATCAGGATGCAGATAGCCAAGTGAAGTTCACTAAAATCATGATCTGCTGTATGCCAGCACCAAACATGCCCTTCCCAAAAGGCTAAAACAACTGTGCACATGTAAGCCACACGTGGCCTGATCAAGCAATATGGACAGAGCAGAACTGTTTTAGCCCACACTGAAACCTTGGCTAGGCCAGTTTTAACCCTGCTTGGTTCAATCTACACCAACTGTATTATAGCCTACCGGTAGTTTTAGCCATGCTTAAGCAGAATTGTCGAGCATGACTAAGAGCTCTATCAAGGCAGGGTAAGGGTTCTTGCCAATTAGAATAATCCCTGGATATCAGATAGTATGTTCAAAAACTATTTTAATCTAATGCAAAGCTTGAAAAGAGTAGATAACCTAACTTATTACTTCATCTGTTTAAGCTGGGACCTTTGAAATACAATCTTAATAAATCATATTCTGAGGTAAAAAATCTTACCATATGTATGTATACCATACTAAAAATCTAGTGTCTAAGAATAAAGGCTAATTATCTTTTCTAAGTCAAATGACCTGCAGAAGAATGAAAAGGAAGAATGTGGCTTGTGTCCAAGTGTTATTGTGGGATAATCACATAAGCTTGTTTAGTGTAATACTTCATGCAAGCAATGCCAAATACCTATGTACTTATCTACATAAGAATAATGTGGTGAATTTTCAAAAACAGTATTTAAGATTATCTACAAAAACTATTTTAATTATTATTTGGACTGAGTTGAAATCTCAAATATAAAAGTTACGAATATTTGCAATAAGGGCAAGGTTTGTTTTTTTTAATGTCGCCTGATTAACAGTTAATATGAACATATTTTAACTGAACTGAAACCAAAATTAAAGAAAAGGAGACTAAAAACTGTTAGCTGGAAGGCCACAAACAGCTATGCGTTATATAGTATTACTGGATTGGTTTTTATTTTACACTGTGTTGAAAGCAAATCATTCCTTTTTAATAAAGTATACACAAATAGCCTCACTTAGAATACACTTTTAATGCACATAAAAAAAAAGTATTCATCTTACAAATTGTTTTGCAATCCAAATATACAATAGCTTGGAAAACAAGTATTTTAGAAAACAAAAGCCAATGTGTAAAAAGACTGCTTAAAACAACTAAAACAGTAAGTTTCTGTATGGCTGTCTTTACAGTTTTCTTACTGCATCATCAATATCGGAAATCTGTTCCTTCAGCTGGCTCCACTGTTCTGGATTTAAAGAAATACCTGAAATGCATTAAAAACAAATCCTTAGTGCAGTATGAAAACTAAGATCAAGATTTTGTACAACTTTAACGATCTTTGAATCCAAAACAATCTTACTATGATGTCATCAATATTTTCATAACTAACAAACAATGTTAGCTGTAGTGCGTGTTAAATGAATAATTACATTAACTAAAATATCTGATTATTCACTGGAATATTTACATTTAACTTCAGGCTAAACAAGAGATTAGTCTGTTTATGGATTCTGTTTGGATGTGAAGATACAAACTGTAGTGCAGCATCTTTGCAGAAACCCATCCACAGGTGTTATGTGAATCACAAGAAGCTACAAATGTAGCTGTGGCCCTGATGGCAGGCTGCACTAAAACTCTGGATGAGCTGGAGAGGCCCAGGCTTCTTTCTTTAGTGTGATAAAAGCCATGTGTTTATGGATTGAGTTTGCACACACGTTCGTAGATTCAATGGCCAGACAAGACTATCATGATCAGCTAGCCTGACCTGTACAACAGGACCCAGTGAACTTTTGCAAAATTCCTAGAGCATAGATGTTTTCTAAAAAGCTAATCTTGATTTCAAAATGGTCAGTGATGGAGAATCCACTATGACCATTGATAAACTGTTCCAATGGTTAGTTACCTCCACTGTTAAAAATTTAAGACTTATCTCCAGTCTGAATTTGGCTAGCTTCAACTTCTAGACATTGGATTGTGTTACACCTTTCTCGGCTAGACTGAGGAGCCAATTATTAAATACTTGTTCCCCATTCCTTAAAGTTACCCCTTAATCTTCTTTGTAAAAACTAAATTCTGTATGTTAAGCATGTAAACATTTTTGAAGCAGCACTGTGCTGCCCCGTTCTTCTCTCCCACCACACAGAATAGTATGACATTTATCTATATCTTCTCATGCACCAATCTTACTCTTGCCTCTACGCACGTTTCTTATACTTTAAACCCATTGTTTATTTAAGGATTTATTCAATTTTGTCTCCATTCATTCAAGGACCAATCTAAATGCACTTTGGGGAAACCTGTGACAGGACCCAAGGGAAACAGGATCAGGACTTTTTTGGTACCAAATATTTTTATTATTTGAGAATATTAAACATAAGTACTGCTGTTGTCAGCCACCTGTGAACATTAATCTAAAAGGGAAAAAAACTTTTCCTACATTCTTTCATGTTTTGGACACCAGCTACTCTGAACATGCTGTCACACATAGCTTCATAAATCAGTTTGTATATTTTCTGACTGAAAGGGCTTAATGCTGTTTGATATTTTCCAGTGCAAAAATCAAATATTCAGTTTCAGTAAAGTGTTCAAGATTCATTAAAAAAAAAAAAAAAACAACACCTGTCTTTTCTCAAAATTTGATAAAACTATCTCAAAATTCTTACCATAGTCACCAACTTCATTTCTAGATGAACAGATCAACAAAATATCAAGTATTCTAATCTAGCATACATTTTCAAAGTGTGCTGATTTCAGTCAAGGCAATTTAAATCAATAGCAGAAAGACAATACTGATTTTAAGATTAGATTTTAGTTTCGTTTCCGAAAGGAAGCATCACATAATTGATAACAGAGAAAACAGTCTATTGATGTAATATTAGTGTTGGCTACATAGCCTAAATATCACTTAATTTTTTTTTAAGGTATGTCTACACTACATCCTATATCGGTAAAACTT